CTCTTTAATTCCTCTTCACCTCTGCCATTACACTGGTATCATCTGCATATCTGACCAGCAAAATGGATGGCTGCAGTGGAAAGAAGGCCATCGAGGCCTTGCACTTGGACAAACTCCAGCCGGCTCACGTGGAAAGAGCCCCAGCACGAGGGGTGGGGCCCTGCTGGGCCCGGGTTCCCCTGCAGGGCAGGGCTTGGGCAGATAGGGCCCTCTCTGTGGCTCGTCTTTACATGTGTACCCTCCATGTGCGCGTTCAGCTGTGTCCGACTCTGTAGCCCTTTGGACTGTAGCTCGCCAGGCTCCTCTCTCTATGGGATCTTTCAGGCTGCTGGTCTTTACTACTAAGATAAAATCTCCATCTTTTCACAGAGGAAATGTCCCTGGGGTCACACAAGGGTGGAGTGGCCTGGGGGCTGGACTGTGCAGGGAAGAAGGAGGGGGCTATGGGCTGGAGACCCTCTCAGAAGCCCCCACGGCTCCCATGGGCCCTGCCTGCAGCGGGACTGGAGGCCAGGAGAGGAGGCCTGTTTGGGGTTTACTTAAAGCAGCCGATTGCTCTCAGCCCCACACGGGCTTGACTGGCTGCACCCCCAGGGCCCCAGCCCCACCCCCACCAGGAGCTCACTGCCTCAGGGCTCATTGGCTGGGTCGGTGGGTGGATGTGGCCATGTGCTGTGATGCGTCAGGGGCTCCAGAAACAGCCAACAACGGTGTTGATCACATGGAGCCTGCCTGGCCAGACGCACACTCGGCCCTGGTGGGGCCTGGCTGTTGGGGTGATGGAGAGGAAGAGCCAGGCTGGGCTCCCAGGGAGCAGCCCTACACCATCTCCAGCACCTCCTGTTGGGGACCCTCTGGCTGGCCCCAGGGTCACCCCCCACCCCAGGCCAGACAGGTCCCAGAGGTGGTGGGGTCATGGTGGGGTCACAGAGGCACAGCAGGCTGTGGAGCTGGACCAGCCCTCGTGGCCAGCGCTGCCCCGGGGCCCAGGGGACGGACAGACAGTGGACACGCCAGACAGGAGGGTGAGGGGTGTGAGCGGCACCTCCCCACGTGCAGGATGCGCTCGTCCCGCTGCCTGGCTGGGCCCCAGTGTGGGCAGGACCCCGGGACGGCACTGCTTGCAGAGGGGCCCGGAGCCCGGCTCTGGTCTCGCCCGGCCAGGCAGCACTGCCCTCCTTCTCCTGGTGCGAACACCTGCCTGCGCCCCCTCTGTGGGTGCCCTGAGGGTGTGGCAGCTGGGCGAGCCGGCACCCCGGCCCCTCCGAGAGGGGGTGCTGTGGGGATGGGCCTCTGTGTTGGAGACCCCAGCCGCCGGGAGTGCAGTCCTCCCAGGCTTGGGCCAGACTTGGAGTGGGAGGTGGGTGCCTGGGCAGACGGGCTGGGCTGCCGGCCTCACTCTGGGTCCATTCAGGTGACCATAGGCAGAAGGAAGGCAAACGCTGAGGACAGAGAGGGGAAGAGGCCTGTCAGGAGCTGAGGACTGGCCACAGCCACGGCAGAGCCAGGAGGCCCGGGGCTGGAGACGGGGCCTCAGGGACATCTGCGTGGGGTGGGTACCCGAGACCCCAGGTGGGGAGGGAGGGTTCCTTCCCGACAGACAGACGTCTGCTCCAGGCACCGTACGCCCAGGGAGGCTCTTCCCAGGAGTGCCCACCCCCCGTTCCCAAGCAGCTGTTGAGGGCCTGCGGGGTAGGCTGCAGCCCTCAGACTTGAGGAAAGCGACTTCGAGGGAAGGGGCTGTGAACAGGAGGGAGGGTGTCCATACAGACCAGCAAAGCGCGTGGAAGCTACCGGGGGGGTGAAGGGAGATGGAACTCTTGTATGTTATTAAAATTCTGGTAGTGGGAATGAGTAATTAACGAAAGGGTGGCAAGATAAATCTCAAGAAATCTCCTCCAAAGGCAGAAAAGAGGAGACAGGTAATTACAGGTTCCTCCAGGAAGCCCAGCATCTGAGTCAGAGTAGCCCCAAGAGGAGAGAATCCAGGGAGGACCTTGCCCCGTCCGTCCCTCCTTCTGGCACCTGCATGCTGGCAGGGGTGGTCCCCCAGGAGGGAAGCAGAGTCCCACTGCAGTCAGGAGTCAGGTGGTTCAGAGCTCTCAGTACCACCGGGAAGGACCATCACCGTCACCCCTGGGGATGGCTTCTCACCCACAGCCAGGCCCAGCCAGGCTTCTAGTCGAGGCCTGGGGCCTGTGAAGACACTCCCAGAGAGCCGAAAGCAGTGGAACATCCCTCCTTGCAGCTATTCTCAGGAAGCTCATGGAGAATGTGCTCCTCTAGAGTCAGGGGGAAACTCAGAAGATGAAGGCTTCAAGGTCAGGGATGCAGGAGCACTGGAGAGAAGTGGGGCGGGGAGGCCCTGGGCGCCGGGCTCATCCTGCGCCACTGGGCTGGACAGCAGCCGTCTGGACCAAGATGGGAGGGCAGAGGCTCGAGCAGGGATGTCCCTGGGAACAGGCAGCACTGCTCCAGCTTGTCTGAACATCCTGGGGAGGGTTGTGGTGCTCAGTCCGGTTCATGATGGCTTTGTAAGGAATCCAACAGGGAAGAAATGGTATCACTTTTTTTTTTTTTCTTTACTCTTCCCCCCCTCTTTAGATAGGATAATTTCTACTGCATGCTTAGTTGCTAAGTCGTGTCCGACTCTTTGCAACCCCATGAACGGTAGCTCGCCAGGCTCCTCTGTCCATGGGAATCTCCAGGAAAGAATACTGGAGTGGGTTGCCACTCCCTTCTGCAGGAGATCTTCCTGACCAGGGATCAAACCCGAGTCTCCTGCATTGCAGGCAGATTTCTTTACCATGTGAGCCACCAGGGAGACCCTAGTTTCTATCGATCTGTCTTTAAATTCACTGACTCTCCAATCTGCTGTCAAGCCCAGTCAGTGGATTTTCCATTTTAGTTATTATACTTTTATACTTTTTATTAGAGAATTGCCATTTAGTTATTTTGTGTTGTGGTTTAGTCCAACTCTTTTGCAACCCCATGGACAGTAGCCTGCTATGCTCCTCTGTCCATGGGATTTCCCAGGCAAGAGTGGGTTGCCATTTTCTTTTCTAGGGATCTTCCTGATCCAGGGATCGAACTCACATCTCCTGCATTGGCAGGTTGGATTCTTTACTGCTGAGCCATCGGGGTTCCCATTCTTTTATGTAGTTTCATGTAATTTCCATTTCTACCTCTCTGTTTCATGAAAATCGTATTATTCTTTAACTTTTTGAACATGTTTTTCATTCATTCTTTGAACACAGAATAGTTTAAAGTCTTTGCTAAATGCAACCTCTGAACCTCCTTCAGGTTGCTTTCTGCCATGTGCTTTTCTATATTCTTCCCCCTTACCTATGGGTTGTATTTCCTTTGTGATTTTTATATTATCTACTGAACACTGTCAATGATAGGGACTCTATTCTGTTGCCTCCGTTTGAAGAATGCTGGGTGGTGTTCTAGTGAGCAGGCAGTTTCTGATTACCTTGAGCTGGTGAGGGGGGGCATAGCTTGGCATTTCATTCAGTCAGTTCAGTTCAGTCACTCAGTCATGTCTGACTCTGTGACCCCATGGACTGCAGCACACCAGGCTTCCCTGTCCATCACCAACTCCCAGAGTTTACTCAAACTCATGTCCATTGAGTCGGTGATGCCATCCAACCACCTCATCCTCTGTCGTCCCCTTCTCCTCCTGCCCTCAATCTTTCCCAGCATCAGGGTCTTTTCCAGTGAGTCAGCTCTTCGCATCAGGTGGCCAAAGTATTGGAGTTTCAGCTTCAGCATCAGTCCTTCCAATGAACACCCAGGACTGATCTCCTTTAGGATGGACTGGTTGAATCTCCTTGCAGTCCCAGGGACTCTCAAGAGTCTTCTCCAACACCACAGTTCAAAAGCATTCATTCTTCAGCACTCAGCTTTCTTTATGGTTCAACTCTCACATCCATACATGACCACTGGAAAAAACATAGCCTTGACTAGACGGACCTTTGTTAGGGTGGATCTTCATCTTGGAGAGGTTCACCCTACAAAGTGTCCCATGGATTTTCTGGGGCTTAGGGGCCTGGTTACACTGGTGGGGTTGGCAGAGTGGGTCTACAGTGGGTCTCTCTCACTGTGGTCACTGGGATGGATCCCTGAGTGAGTGGCACCGCTTGACCACGCATGTCTCTGATGAACTCTTGGCCCAGGGACAGCTGCCTCTGGGAGCTCTGGGGGTCCTGCACTCTTCCCTGCAGCTCTGGCCCCGCAGCCCCTCCAGCAGGTGCAGTTTTGGCCCCGCGGCCCCTCCAGCTCCTGCAGTTCTGGCCCCATGGCCCCTCCAGCTCCTGCAGTTCTGGCCCCCACGGCCCCTCCAGCAGGTGCAGTTCCGGCCCCCACGGCCCCTCCAGCTCCTGCAGTTCTGGCCCCGTGGCCCTGGTTCCCTTGAAGACTCAGTGGAAACCTTCAGAGAGCTGTGTCCAGGTCGGTGGGGTGGGGGTGGATTCTCACCTTGAGCTTGGTCCGTCAGTGTAAGACTGGAGAGTCAGGAAACAGCCGTATCAGCCTGTTAGAGAGAAGTTCAACGGTAAATGTCCAAAGCTCGTGGGAGTGGTGGCCTACGGGTGGCGGAGTGGGTTGGGGAGCAGACGGCACAGGGGGTGGGTGGGGGACCCTCCAATCCAGGCCTGTGTCAGGACCTGGGTCTAAACAGAGGTGCTTCAACGATCCCGTGATACAAACCACACAGCAAATGAGGTCAAACTGGCCCCTTTCCCTAAATGTGGAAAAGTAAAATGCATGTTGGCAGGAGCCTGTTGGCCACCTGGGGACGGCAGTGCTTTGTTGTCGGCCTGGGTGATTTAGAGCTGACTGCGCCTGTGGGGCAGGCTCCTGTCGGAAGGCTGAGGCCGCCCAGGCCCCGCTCCCCAACCAGGGAAGCGGGCCCTGCGAGGTCTCCCCCTTTGTGTGGAGCCTGCAGCCTGACTGCCCGTCTCCACTGGCCTCCAGCAGCTCCTGCATTTTCCCTGAGAATGGACCCTGGAGACCCCGAGGAAAGGTCTGCTGCCGCTGACCCCGCCGCTGACCCCGCCGCTGACACCACTGGTGGTGAGTCCTGCGGGTGAGCCTGTGCCCCTCACGGCCCCAGGTCCAGCGGGCAGTGCAGGGCGGGCCATGGGGTAGACGTGTGGGTGTGCACGGGGCAGGGACACCGGGTGGGAGGTGTCGGGGCGGCGCTGGCCTGGGGCACGGAGAGCGGCCTCAGGTGTGGGCGGGGGCAGGCCGCCGGCTGCTGCCACGGCCTCCTGTCCCGGGGCCACCGGCGCACCTCCTGCTGCCTGGGAAGCATGACCCCGTGGCCCCATGGTGGCCTGCCTGCTGGCCGCGTGCCTGGTGACTAACTCTGAAGGGCGGCCGTGACTGGACAGACAGTTCTGGGAGAAGGACGGAGCCCACGCTGAGGTGTGGGTAGAGCTGGGTGCGCAGGTGGTTTTCTCTGGAGCCCTCACTGCGCCCCACACCAAGTATGGACACAAGGCCTCTCATCCCTCCGGCCAAGAGGGCGGGAGCAGGGGGCTGACAGGTGTCTGAAGAGCAGGAGCCCCCACGGGGCCCCCACGGGGCCCCAGCCCCAAGAGAGATGTCTGAAGAGCAGGAGCCCCTACGTGGCCCCCACGTGACCCCCAGACCCAAGACACCCGAGGCTGTCGGCTCTGGACTCTCCAGAAACCCCGAACTCCTCTTGGGTGGCATCTGTGGGCTCCGCCAGGCTTGCTTTCTGCGTGTCTGCTATGTTTGGTGATGTGGGTGGGGCAGACACAGGGCCACATGAAGTCTGATATGAAGTCCCCCCAAGAAAGACAGATGGTGACATGAAAGAGGAGACCGAGGCTGGAGAAGCAGGGGCTCCTCCCAGGCCAAGACCCTGTGTCCAGTTGGAGAGTGGTCCCTTCCTGCTACCCTGAGCACCCTGAGGGGCTGTCTCTGTGCTGGGCTGGGTCCCCAAGTGGGCACACTGGTGGGAAGGAGGGCCCCCAGCATGTAAGCAAAAGGGCAGCACCTTCTGCAGGTGGTGTGGATGGAGGTCTGGTCCAGCCTCTGAGCCCACAACCCAGGATCCTGGGCATCTCCCTGGGGTCCTCTGAGATACATGTCCTGCTCTAGCAGACTCTCCAAGGGGGTGATGGCAGATGCCTTTACACTAAACATAAAAACTGGACTCCATTGCTGCCCCAGTGACCTCAAAATGAACTCCAAGCTGTTCCCAAGAGGCCCATGTTACATGAACTCTTTGGGCCTTAAAGGCCACCCTATTGGGAAAGGGGATCAGACAGAGCCCCCCATCAGACACAGTCCCCACCATCAGACACAGTCCCCCAAGATGCACAGTCCCCCATCTGGCACAGTCCCCCCATCACACAGTCCCCAATCACACACAGTCACCCCATCACAGAGAGCCCCCCATCACACACAGTCCCTCATCACACACAGTCCCCCCGTCACACACAGTCCCCCCGTCACACACAGTCCCCCGTCACACACAGTCCCCCCGTCACACACAGTCCCCCCGTCACACACAGTCCACCGTCACACACAGTCCCCCCGTCACACACAGTCCCCCCGACACACAGTCCCCCCGTCACACACAGTCCCCCCGTCACACACAGTCCCCTGTCACACACAGTCCCCCCGTCACACACAGTCCCCCGTCACACACAGTCCCCCCGTCACACACAGTCCCCCGTCACACACAGTCCCCCGTCACACACAGTCTATCATCACACACAGTCCCCCCATCACACACAGTCCCCCGTCACACACAGTCCCCCGTCACACACAGTCCCCTATCACACACAGTCCCCCATCACACACAGTCCCCCCGTCACACACAGTCCCCCATCACACACAGTCCCCCGTCACACACAGTCCCCCCGTCACACACAGTCCCTAATCACACACAGTCCCCCGTCACACACAGTCCCCCCGTCACACACAGTCCCCCGTCACACACAGTCTATCATCACACACAGTCCCCCCGTCACACACAGTCCCCCGTCACACACAGTCCCCGTCACACACAGTCCCCCATCACACACAGTCCCCCATCACACACAGTCCCCCGTCACACACAGTCCCCCCGTCACACACAGTCCCCCGTCACACACAGTCCCCCCGTCACACACACTCCCCCGTCACACACAGTCCCCCCGTCACACACACTCCCCTGTCACACACAGTCCCCCCGTCACACACAGTCCCCCCGTCACACACAGTCCCCCGTCACACACAGTCCCCCCGTCACACACAGTCCCCCGTCACACACAGTCTATCATCACACACAGTCCCCCTGTCACACACAGTCCCCGGTCACACACAGTCCCCCCGTCACACACAGTCCCCCGTCACACACAGTCCCCCCGTCACACACACTCCCCCGTCACACACAGTCCCCCCGTCACACACAGTCCCCCCGTCACACACAGTCCCCCCGTCACACACAGTCCCCCGTCACACACAGTCCCCCGTCACACAAGTCCCACCGTCACACACAGTCCCCCCATCACACACAGTCCCCCGTCATACACAGTCCCCCATCACACACAGTCCCCCGTCACACACAGTCCCCCCGTCACACACAGTACCCCCGTCACACACAGTCCCCCCGTCACACACAGTCCCCCGTGACACACAGTCCCCCCATCACACACAGTCCCCCGTCACACACAGTCTATCATCACACACAGTCCCCCCGTCATACACAGTCCGCCCGTCACAAACAGTCCCCCGTCACACACAGTCCCCCCATCACACACAGTCCCCGATCGCACACAGTCCCCCCGTCACAGACAGTCTATCATCACAGTCTATCATCACACACAGTCCCCCCATCACCACAGTCCCCAGTCACACACAGTCCCCTGTCACACACAGTCCCCCCATCACACACAGTCCCCCGTCACACACAGTCCCCCGTCACACACAGTCCCCCCGTCACACACAGTCCCCCGTCACACACAGTCCCCCCATCACACACAGTCCCCCGTGACACACAGTCCCCCCATCACACACAGTCCCCCGTCACACACAGTCCCCCGTCACACACAGTCCCCCCGTCACACACAGTCCCCCGTCACACACAGTCCCCCGTCACACACAGTCCCCCCGTCACACACAGTCCCCGTCACACACAGTCCCGCGTCACACACAGTCCCCCCGTCACATACAGTCCCCCGTCACACACAGTCCCCCCCGTCACACACAGTCTATCATCACACACAGTCCCCCCATCACACACAGTCACCCATCACACACAGTCCCCCGTCACACACAGTCCCCCATCACACACAGTCCCCCGTCACACAGAGTCCTCCCATCACACACAGTCCCCCGTCACACAGAGTCCCCCATCACACACAGTCCCCCCGTCACACACAGTCTATCATCACACACAGTCCCCCCGTCACACACAGTCCCCCCGTCACACACAGTCCCCCGTCACACACAGTCCCCCCGTCACACACAGTCTATCATCACACACAGTCCCCCCATCACACACAGTCCCCCATCACACACAGTCCCCCCGTCACACACAGTCCCCCGTCACACAGTCCCCCTGTCACACAGTCCCCCGTCACACACAGTCCCCCTGTCACACACAGTCCCCCGTCACACACAGTCCCCCGACACACACAGTCCCCCCGTCACACACAGTCCCCCGTCACACACAGTCCCCCGTCACACACAGTCCCCCCGTCACACACAGTCCCCCGTCACACACAGTCTATCATCACACAGAGTTCCCCTGTCGCACACAGTCTATCATCACACACAGTCTATCTTCACACACAGTCCCCCCATCAAACACAGTCCCCCGTCACACACAGTCCCCCCGTCACACACAGTCCTCCGTCACACACAGTCCCCCCATCACACACAGTACCCCCGTCACACACAGTCCCCCCATCACACACAGTACCCCCGTCACACACAGTCCCCCGTCACACACAGTCCCCCCGTCACACACAGTCCCCCATCACACACAGAGTCCGCCCGTCACACACAGTCCCCCGTCACACAGTCTATCATCACACACAGTCTATCTTCACACACATTCCCCCCATCACACACAGTCCCGCGTCACACACAGTCCCCCGTCACACAGTCCCCCTGTCACACAGTCCCCCGTCACACACAGTCCCCCGTCACACACAGTCTATCATCACACACAGTCTATCTTCACACACATTCCCCCCATCACACACAGTCCCCCGTCACACAGTCCCCCCGTCACACAGAGTCCTCCCATCACACACAGTCCACCATCACACACAGTCCCCCCGTCACACACAGTCCCCCGTCACACACAGTCCCCACGTCCCACACAGTCCCCCGTCACACACAGTCCCCCCGTCACACACAGTCTATCATCACACACAGTCCCCCCGTCACACACAGTCCCCCCGTCACACACAGTCCCCCGTCACACACAATCCCCCCATCACACACAGTCCCCCCATCACACACAATCCCCCGTCACACACAGTCCCCCATCACACACAGTCCCCCCGTCACACCCAGTCCCCCGTCACACCCAGTCCCCCCGTCACACCCAGTCCCCCGTCACACCCAGTCCCCCCGTCACACACAGTCCCCCGTCACACACAGTCCCCCGTCACACACAGTCCCCCCGTCACACACAGTCCCCCCGTCACACACAGTCTATCATCACACACAGTCCCCCCGTCACACACAGTCCCCCCGTCACACACAGTCCCCCGTCACACACAGTCCCCCCATCACACACAGTCCCCCCATCACACACAGTCCCCCGTCACACACAGTCCCCCGTCACACACAGTCCCCCCGTCACACACAGTCCCCCGTCACACCCAGTCCCCCCGTCACACCCAGTCCCCCCGTCACACACAGTCCCCCGTCACACACAGTCCCCCCGTCACACACAGTCCCCCGTCACACACAGTCCCCCGTCACACACAGTCCCCCCGTCACACACAGTCCCCCGTCACACACAGTCCCCCCGTCACAGACAGTCTATCATCACAAACAGTCTATCATCACACACAGTCCCCCCATCACACACAGTCCCC